TGTGGTCCTGGCCGCATACCACCTGCAGCCCCATCTTCAGTTGTCTCTTCTCATGCTCTGACCACATGGGCTTTCTCTCCTTCCTTCCACTGCAGGGACTTTGCATATGCTGTTCCCTCTCTCTGGACTCCCTACTCCTAAAAATTAACATCTACCCAACTTTCTGGGGCTTGGTCAAATGTCACCTCCTGCCTTTTCCTGATTCCCAAGACCAGCCTGGCCCTCCACCCACCAGCCCCATAACTTCATAGCACTTGTCTGAGGTATAATTCCACATCTCTTTGCACGGTGGTTTGAGTTCTTTTTCTTCCTCTAGACTCTAAGTTCTCTGATATGTATTCCCCACACCTGACACAGTGCCTGGTGGGGAGTAAGCCCTCAATAAATGTTTGTGTAAAGAGGGGCTCCTGGGTGGCTCAGTTGGTTAAGTGTCTGCTTTGGCTCAGGTCATGATCCTGGGGTCCTGAGATTGAGCCCCAGCTCAGTCTCCCTGCTCAGTGTGGAGTCTGCTTCTCCCTCTCCCTCTGCCCTTCCCCTTGCTCATGCTCTCTCTCTCTCAAATTTAAAAAATTTAATTAAAAAAATTAAAAAAACATGTTTGTGGAAAGAATGAAGAACAATGGCTCTCAGTTAAAATCCTGGAGCTTCACATTGAACCTTGGTTTTTTTCTTCTCTGAAATGGAAATAATAAACCAGGATCAGTGTGAGGACCAACTGGTGAATGAAGACTCCTGACACAGCGTCGGTTAAGAGTAAAGAGGAGGCAAGAATTTGCTGTAGACAGGGAGTAGTTGAGGAAAGCTGTTTAGGGGTGGAAGGACTTGAGACGTGGATGGATTGTGTCAACCAAGTGGTAGGGATCTGTGGGAAAAGACTGGAGGTGGGGAGATGGATGTGAGATGCATGGAGACAGCCTGGCTGGGTGGGGCCATTCTCTGAATCTTGAGTGACCCTATTTATTTTTCAGCCTGACCCTGGAAAACAGGGGTTGGCTAAGAAGGCAGGCAGGAAATGCCCACTGCCTCCTGGGACTCCATGTGGGTCACCCAGCCCCGGGCAGCACCTGGCTTGGTGACGGGGTCTGGGACACTGCCAGGGTCTCCCCCACTGGCCTACGGAGATAGCTGAAAATAGCTGAGGGGCCTTGGACCGGCATCTGCAGGGGCACTGACCCACCCCTCGTGGCAGGAAGCAGCCAGCCCCCAGCTTCTGGTGAAGGAGCTCCTTCCTGGAGCTGCCCACACCGGCCCGCCCCCAGCCTCTGGCTCCCAGCCCCCAGTTGCTGTTGCTGTGGCAGCAGAGAGTGATTCCTCTAAGTGGGCCTGTTCATTATTCTTGCCTCGCCTCTCTGTAAAGCCTGCTGGGACACAGAGTGGCAATAGCTCCTGGCCACCAGCACAAGGGCAGGATGCAAGGGGGTCCCAAAGATACCTCTGTACCTGCCTGTCTCTGTGCAGAACTCTTGAATAGAGGGCTGAGGCCTGGAGCTGCTGAGGGAAAATAAGTGAGTTATGTTTAGTGCCCCTCTGGGACACACCTGCTTGCCCCCATACTTAGGGAGGAAGGTGGGGCTCAGAGAGGGTGTGCTAATTATCTGAGGTTGCACAGCAAAGCTGGGGGCATAAATTCCCAAGCATAGACACAAAGGCTGAGTGGCTCCCAGAACAGTGAAGTGGGAAAAATGGACTGGAATTGTTGCTCTGCTTGGATGTCAGGCACTCTGGGGAAAGGCTGTTTGTCTGTTTGGCTTCCCTGGGGCCCACTTGGAGGCCCTGGGAAGACTCCTCAGGAGGTGTGTTGAGCCAGCAGGCAACAGCCGTGAGCTCATCTCCCCTGAGGCCTCAAGGAAGTCTGGTACGAAGGCAGAGGAGAAATGGTCGGAAAAGGAGGGAACAGGAACAGTAAGGGCCTTTGGGATAGGCCATAAAGCCAAGCTCAGGTGTGGGGAAAGAAAAAGACATTTTCCGAATATCTACTGTGTGTTGGGTCATTTCTGTGCATTATCCTTTTTTTTTTTTTTTTAGGTTTTTGTTTATTTATTTGAGAGAGAGAGAGTGGGAGGGAGAGGGAGAGAAAATCTCAAACAGACTCTGAACTGAGCCACAGAGCCTGATGTGAGGCTCAGTTCCATGACTGCGAGATCATGATCTGAGCCAAAACCAAGAGTCAGACGCTTAACCCACTGAGCCACTCAGGCGCCAGGCGCCCCCCCGCCTTTTTTTAAAAAGATTTATTTATTTATTTTAGAAAGAGAGAGTGTGGGAGCGAGGAGGAGGGGAAGAGGGTGAAAGAGTCTTAAGCAGACTACTCACTGAGCGAGGAGCCTGATGCAGGGCTCAATCCCACGACCCCGAGATCATGACCTCAGCTGAAACCAAGAGTAGACCCCTCAATGGACTCTGCCACCCAGGTGCCCCTGTGTGGATTATTCTTTACGAATTCTTCACCAGCCTCCTTGGTGGCTGAGTATTTTTATTCCCATTGTACAGGACACTGAGGAGACTCAGGCTGGAAGTGGCACTGGGTATCGCCGAAGTGTGGAGTCTGTGCAGGGTACCTTGATGGGGGGTAGGGTGCCAAAGTCTAGCCCTCCCTGGACTCACATCACAGCCAGAGCGAAGCCTGGGCTTCTCCTACTTCCAGCTCTGGTCAGTAGGGGGAGACGATGCTGCGTCTGGCTGCAGAAATTGGGCACAGAGGTTGGGATTGGGTTTCCTAGGAGAGGAGAGGAGGCCCCTTTCAAAAGCTCCTGGATTTGGGAGCCCTCAGCCATGCCTCTGTGATAGCTGAAAGATGGGGAGAGCTTCTGCCTAGATTCGCTAAGTGGCAGCCCTGTTGCTGCCCGAGAACAAAATTGAAACTCAACAATTCAAGGCTCTTATAGCTTCTCTTCCCTCAAATACACCCATCCTTCCCTATTTCCCACTACCATGTCTTCGCAAATGCTCTTCTCTTGGCATGGGATGCCCTTTCTGTTCCTTTCTGCCTGGCCAACTCCTACTCATCTTTCAATACTTGGCTTCAGTGCCACTTCCTCCAGAAGATTTCCTGGACTTCCTCCACCCCCAAAAGTCCATCGTATCTCCTGTTCTTTCATGTTTTTAATGGCAGGAATGTGTCTAAATCATCTGTGTGTTCCCAGTACCTAGCATAGGATGGGGCACATAATAGATGCTTAGTAAATAAATGGGCAACATGCATCCCTCTGTGGAGGCTGGAGAGCGGGGGTCTGTCTGGGGTGGAAGTAGGTGTGGGTGACACGGAAGATGAAATGCTCATGCATCGGGCCTGTTCAGGATCAGGCTGACAGGGAGCCTTAGGGGTGAACTTAAACTTTATTTCCCAGGGGCATAATTAAGGTCCAGGGAGATCTTGGATGTAAAAGAGTTCTGTAAACTGTAGTGTGCTGTCCCTGGTAGGTCCTTGTACCTTTCAACTTTGCCTTGTTCCCCTGATGAGGGTGGGGAGAAAGGTCAAAGAATGAGGGAGGGGGCAGACCAGGCCTGGTGGGGGTGGGGTGGCAAGGAGTGCAGCCTCCGCTGTTGCCCCAGCTCTCAGAGGCAAGGAGTGGGTGGGACTCCGGGTGCTGAGGACCTGGCTTGGGACTCCCTCTCCTATAGGATCTAACACCATATCAGAGTTCGGCATGGCCCCAGAGATGATGTAAGCCAATGTCCTTCCAAGGAAGGGTAAACTGAAGCCCAGAGAGAGGTAGGCATTTGTCCAAGGTCACACAGGAGGAGTGGGAGGCCATCCTATGAGCCCTGTCCTCCCAGCATGACAGGTGCCCTCATCCTGGGCTCAGATCCGGACAGCTGTTTCCCTGATCCCTCCTCCTGGCCCCCGCAGTCTCGGCGCCCAACCCGCACTGCCCCACACCCTGGCCTGCCCCTAGGCTTAGACACCAACAAGCATTGCGCGCCCCTTGGATGGCACGGTCGGGACAGCTCCCGACCGCCCTTCTCCTTGACTCACCTCCAGCCCGGGAGGGCCGGGATCAACGGCGGCGGACGGGGCGCCGCCCGCACCGCCCGGGGTCACGCCACCGCCCGGGACCGTTCCGGCGGGGCAACGCCGCCCTCCTTGGCGCCCCCGGGTGGGGCAGGTCGAGCCCGGTGCGCTATCCCTTTAAGCCCGGGCAAGATGGGAGCTGTCAGCGACAGCCGAGGCTAGCGCGGGACGTCGCCGCCCGCCAGGCCAGAGCCAGGAGCCGCGGAGCGAGCGGAGAGCGGAGGTGGCGGTGGGGCCGGGGCGCGGCAGGTCCCCTCGCCGCCCGCTGAGCTCTCGAACCCCGGGCCCGGCGAGGCGGGCGGCACCCAGTGTAATGCGGAGAATGTGAGAGGCAGCGCAGGGCCGTGGGGAGGAGGGGGCGCGAGAGAGGGCGGCGGCAAGATAGACGGAGAGACAGCGGGAGAGATAGAGGACAGGGAACAGGGAGCAGGTGGAAGAGAAGAGAGGAGATAAAAGGAGAGGCAGGGACAGGAAAGGAGGGCAGAAAGGAGCGAGAGAACACGCGGCGCGGGCGGCGGCGCAGGCGAGGAGGAGGGGGCCGACTACCCCGGGTGGGAGCGCCGGAAGCCAGAGTTGGGCGCCCGGGCCGGGGTTCGGGCTGCGAGCGCGGCGGCGGCCGGGCGGGGCATGGTGGGGGAGCGGGGACGCCCCAGGGGCCCCCTCTGGGAGCGGCGGGGGACCTGAGGCGCGGCCAGCCAGGAAAGGGACGCAGGGTCACCCCACAGGCCCCGCCGGCCGCTCTCCGGGGGCTCCGGCGAGCCGGGGCAAGGGGGCCCTTTGTGAGCGCCCCAGGAGAGCGGAGCCGGGTGTGCGGCGGCGGGGATGTGTGCGCGCGCGGGGGTGCGCGCGGGGGTGCGAGTGTGAGCGCCCGGGCGGGTGGGAGCGCGCGTTAGGGATTCTGCTGGCATCGCAGCGTGGAGAGCAGGAGGCAGGCGTGGGGCGCGCAGGGGAGCGCGGGGCTCTCCCGCGCACACGCACACGCCGCGCGCGCGCGCGCACACACATATACACACGCACACGCCCTCCCTGGCTTGCTCGCTGCCGCTGCCACCATCTCGGAGCCGAGCCCTGCGGAGCGGGAAGAGTCGGAGCCGGAACCGGAGCGGAGCAGAGCGGAGCCGGGGAATGCGGTCCCGGAGCGGAGCGGCGCGCGAAGTGCGCGCCCGGGACGGTGAGTGTGGCCAGGCCGGGACGCTGCGGCGGGGCCGGGGCCGCGGGGGCGCAGGCCGGGGAGCTGGGGTGTCTGCCCGCCGGCAGCGCCGCGTGCGCAGCCTCTGATTGGGCGGGAGCCTCCGGGGCAGCAGTGGGGGTGGGGTGTTGGGTGCGCGCCCGTGGGGGGCGTGCACGCGCGGAGATGGATGGGGCGCGCTTGGCACCCCAGTCCGTGACCGCGCTCCCGCCCGCTGCGCGGCCCCGCCTAACCCTCGCCTGCCGCCGGAACCCCGGCGACTTGGAGCAACTTTGTGTGTGGGGGGAGAGGAGATGGAGACGTTTTAATGGTGGAATTCCGGCCTTGCCTTCCTGAGGAGAGAACGCGAGGGAGGAATGGGACGGGGGCGCGGACTGTGCCGCCCGGCGGGTCGAGGGGTGCGTCTCCACCACCCCATCGGCGCAGCCGCCGGCTCTCTGGGATGCCAGTCCGGCCCCGCGGCGCCGCGCTGGAGCCGCTCCCGGCGCTGGACTCCTGTGACTCCGCCAGGGTCCGGCGGGACCGCGCGGCGACAGCTTCCAGGCTCCGGGGCCGCAAGGTCGTCTTTGCAGCCAGGCTGAGGACACAGGGCTTGAGGTGGGGAGTGGGAGACGTGCCTGTGCGTACGTGTGTGTCCCCGCGCCTTCTGCTGCGTGGGACAGGCGGCTGGAAGAAGGGAGCTGCCAGAAAGGGGCATCGCATTAGACCTGGCCCCCAGGAGCTCCCCAGAGGCCAGGGATTGGAAGGGGAACCTCTAGGTCCCTGGCCTGGTGCCCCCACCCCCCCGGCCGCATGCCTGCTTTGCTTGGAGCCGTGCTCCTGTGTGCTTTACTATGTATCGGGGTTGTGCCTGTGCTGTGCCCCCCACGCCGCTTCTTGAGCCTCCTTCCACACTCCTGTCCCGTTGCTGGCTGCCTCAGGGAAGTTCCTAGGCTCCCTCCCCAAATGGCAACCCTGCCCCTGTAGAGCATAGGATGAGAAGATGTGGCCCCAGATGGTGCCCCTGAGAGGGAGGAACCACGTGTGTACCCCCCTCCCCCACCCCAGTGAGAGGCCCAAGGAAGGGTCAGAGGTCAGGACTTCCCCTGTACAAATCCTCCTTGCTTCCAGAGCAGTTCTTCCTCCTCTAGGAAGTCTTCTCTGATTGCTCCTTGAATCCATCCTTCCAGCTTGGGCTTCTGGGCCCAAGCAGCTGGGTTCCCTGGCAGTCTCTCTCCTGGCACTCAGTGTGTGAGCCGGTGGGGGTCAGAAGTCTTGTGCCTAGCCTACATGTTAGCTGGAGGAGTGTGATGCTGGACCAGTATCTACCTGGCTCTCTGGGCGATGGTATTATTTTGTTTGACCAGCTTTCAGGCTTAAACCTTGCTTCCAGTTCACTATCCTTCTGGAATCTTATCAGCCACCTTGTGAGAATGCAAGGCCTATGGGCACACTTCCACTCCATTTCACAGAGGAGGGTTTTGAGGCAGAGATGGAGCTAGGAGAACTCCAGTCTCAGGGCAGCCTCTTTCCACTGGGAAGGTAGCCTTTAACCTGGTCTTCTGTGAGGTGGGGTGGGGAACTGGCTGCTTGCTGCTGGAGAGTCTCCCAGGGCAGCTGTCCTGCTGGCTGGGACCAGCACCCTCCCCAGATGGGCAAGAAGGTGGGCACAGCCACTCTTAGCCTGGTTCTCCCTGGCTTGACTTTCGGCACCTCTTGACCCCAGCTTCATTAACCTTTGCTTCTTAGATTTGGGGCCAGAGTCTACCTGGGCTCTGCTTCATGCTTTGCAAACCTGATTCCTGTAATCCTCAACACTGGGATGTCTGTATTGTTCTGGGGATCAGAGGGGTTTCCCCAGCCCAGATTGGCCCTGTAGGCTAGGCCCTGGCCTTGTCCTCTTACATGGGCCCTGGAATCCTTCCCACTGTCCTGAGATCTCCATTCTACAGCCCCATCTGGGCCAGAGAGCTCACCCTCAGGGAAATGGGTTCCACACAGACGTCTAAATGTGCACTGGGGGGAAATGGAGTCTGGTGGCTATTCGGACCACTTCCTCCCCAGGTGGGCCACCTGAGGTACAGGAAGCTAGAATAGCTCTCAGCCCCAGTCAGGCTTCTCTGAGCCCTCTCCCGCCCTCCACATGCTGACCTGATGGCAGCCTGGACTCATCCCCAGGGCCACTTTGGTCCTTAGAGGTCTCTGGGGCAGGGAGAGCTGTTGCCCAGGAGTGACGAAAGCTCCTCCTGGGGTTGGGGTTGCTATTGCATCCTGTGGTGGCTCCTTCGGCCTCTTTGCTGGCTTCATGCTCCGGCAGCCTCTCCCTGCCTCTCCTCATCAATTTCTGACCTGCTCTCCATGGCCTTTCTTACCCATTGTTTCTCTTGTCTCTCTCTCCCCCTCTCCATCTCCCTGTGGCTCCCTGAGCTCTGGACTTTTGCCTTCCTGCGTGTTGACTGATGCTCTGGTTGACTCCCAGGTGGCTGGAGCATGGCCAGGTGCCTGCGTGGTCCCACCCGTGCTATCCAGGCTCACTTTAGTCCCTCGCCTGGATCTTCTGGCCCCTTCCCACCAAAGGACTCCAGCAGGCTGAGCCCGCCATTTGGGGTCACGAGCCATGGGGAAGGAGAGAACAGGGTACCTCTTTGGCCCTCGGTATGTGCTATCAGGGGTGTGAATCCCAGCCAGGTGCTCCCGGTCCCTACTCACTGCCTGCCTTAGGAAGAGCCACTCCCCCTCAAACCTCCTGACCAGTGCGGTCCCTCCTTTCCCTCTCCAGCCAGTCTCTGACTCTGCCATGGGTGTGTTTTAAATTAGAAAGGTATTATATTCTAACAAATTCAGTGATAAGTTGTTGGGTAGGCTGGGCCTTGGGGTGACTTGAGGGGGAAAGGTTACCCCTGACCATTCAAGCCTCCTTTGGGGGGAATTGGGGACCACTCTGGCCAGCCAGAGTCTCCTCCACAGGCTTCTGGGGCAGACATCTGCTCCCAAGAACCATGCCTTGGCCTTGCTCCTCATTGCGTAGAGTCCTACAGTGGGGGCCTGCTCCACATTTGGTGGCATCTCCTGGTTTGAGGCCTGGGCTGAGTACTGGGGATTCTGATGACAAGCCTGGGTCCCCCCCAGGTGGGCTCTGAAAGGGGACACAGGTATCCACCCACACCCCTGGCTATGAGGCAGAGTGGGCTGGGCAGCTTGCAGAGGGACGTGAGATGGGGGTCGGCAGCGGGTTGTTTCAGGTGGACTGGACGGCTGGTGCATTTTGACCTGCTCAAATGTTTCTGGCAGTTGGTGGAAGCTCTGTGAATATGTTGGATACATGAGTGAATGGAGACCATGAACAAGGGAGGGCTTTCCAGGCAGATGGCACAGTGTTAGCAAAGGCATGGCGGTGGGAAGCACCAGGCATGGGTGGAGCATGTTTGCAATGGAGTAGTTTATGCAGGGGCCCAGCAGGCCCAGAGCAGGTTGGCACAAGACAGAGGAGGATTTTGAGTGCCCAGCTGAGAAGTGTGGGCTGATTCCGTATGCAGGGGTTGCAGGGTGGAAGTTCTGGAGGGATGCGAGCAGATTTGCAATTTAAACCGCTCCCTCTGGTGGTTGTGGGAGGGCTTGGCCCAGAGAGCCAGAGGCAGGGAGGAGGTCCTGAGGCTGCGTGGGAATCCAGGCTGGTGGTGAGGGCAACAGTGGAGACAGACCCCTTGTCCGCCTTCTGAGGATGGCCCAGGGGCCAGGCCTAGTTTCCGAACCCAGGAGGATGGAGGGATTTGGCCTGGGGGAGGAGCCGGGTGGGGCAATGGAGGTCATCCATCCAGAGTAGGGCCAGGCCTCGGGTGTATCACCATTCTCACCATCTGGGCATAGGGAGGTGGCAGGTGTCCGGGACTCACAGGATGCAGCCCTTACTACTGGCCCTCCCACTGTGTGCACTCTAACAAGTCCCTGAGATCCCTCGCACCTCTGTTTCTATGTCTGTAAAACGGATGAGTTTGTTTGCCTGGAGACCTGAGGTGAATTTGGGTGGAAGTTTGTGACCTTGGAAGAGGGATACAAAGAGAAGGGGTAGAGGGCTGGTCCACTGCTATTGGACAGAGGAAGAGGTTGAGGCCCAGGGAGGGGTGGTGACTTGAATGAGGTCACAGAAAAAGTTGGTGGCAGGGTGTTCCTGCTTGGGGTTTCCTGGCTGGGCCTGTGGCCTGCTGGGCAGGGGTGGGTGGCGTGGCCAGGGCCTCAAGGCCTCCGCAGAGGACGTCCTCAGGCGGTGGCTTCGGCAGTCCAGCCGTCAGGGAGCATATGGGGCCATATGGCCACATCAGGGGAGATGCCAGCCGCTGAAGGAGGGTGAGCGGCTGCCATCCTGGCCTTCTGGATCTATGTGGGCACGGCCAGCCATCAGGGTCAGGGCGGGAGGAGGCCAAAATGGAACCTCAGTGTCCAGGTTGGTTTGGACATGGAGGTTGGGTCTTGGCGGATGGCCCAGTTCTAGCACCCATCTGCCAGGGCGGCTGGGCAGGCGGCTTCATGCCCAGGACTGATCCAATTAGCTACAGGCCAGCTATGCCAGCCACCCTCCACGCCCCACCCAGCTCGGACGGCTCGGCGGTCTGCGGGCCATGGGGTGCTACAGGGCATCTGATGCTGGGGCTTCAGGCCTCAGCAGAGTATGTGTGTGTGATGTGTGGCCTCACCCTGAGCACTGATTCTGTAGCTCTAAGATTTGGGGGGTGTGGAAACGAGTCCCTCGAATCAGGCTGGTTGATCAAAAGGGCCTGGGCGTGGATGCCATCTGGATCTGGGTTTGAATCCTGGCTCAGCTGCTTCTGAGCTAGGTGAGCTCAGGCAAGGCCCTTCACTTTTCTGAGCCTCAGTTTCCTCATCTGTAACGTGGGAGAATGATACCTATCTTGTTGGGGTGTCATTGGCATACTTTGAAGTAACGCACGTAAAGCACACACTAGCCTGATGCCTGCAAGAATCTCAGTAAATGGCGTTCATTTTTG